ACCTCCGCTGGCTGGATGACCAGGCGTGTTGAGAGCCTGGGGTGTTGGTTATTTTATGAAGCATGATGAGGAGTCTGAAGACACTTTAGAGCATATCAGTAGAAAATTGTAATTAAACATTTTGAAACATATTGGACACCCTGAGTGGTTTGGGTGCCACATCTTCTTAGGCCAGGCCTATGAGGACGCGTGTGGAAACTCACAGCCTTTCTGTTGAGAGTAGAGCTCTGGCTAAGAACCTCTGTCAACCAAACTTCACTTTGGTCAGCTGCATCTGAGAGTTTGACATGGAGACAAATAAGGGCCAAAGGACAGGTTTATAAAATAGCCTGGGCCCCATCAGGTCGCTGTTCCATTTGTTGTTTGGATGCTATTTGCTGCTTATTTGACTGTGTGTGACAGGCTGAAGATTCATCATAAATGAGATATTGCATGGTGGCAGCGGATGCAGATCCTGGTTTATAGGAACTGCAGAGCAAAGTCTGCTATTGGGATCCCCCACAGTTGCCAATCCCAAGTTGGAATGGGAGGGTCATGGTCCTGACTATGAGCTCAACCCCAGGGAGGGAGGAGAGCGGAAGTGAACACCCTGGCCTGCACCTACAAAGGAACAGGAAGGGGCTCCAGGACAGCCTCTGTCCTCAGAAGCTCCAAAAGGGCTGGCTCTGTGGGAAGCTGTCCTGAACCTCCTGAACCTGGGTGGTGGCAAAACACCCACTGGCGAGGGGGTAAAAGGAAGTGCCTGCCCACAGCCTGGGAGCAGCTCAGAGCATATCCTCCAGCCTATTCTCGCTTGTGCACAAGAGCAGCTTTCCTGGCCCTTCCTGGGCACTTGGCTGCCCACTCTCAGTTGCCCTGCTGCATCTTCTGCCATCCCAGACTGACATGGACAAGTTCCTTCTCCTGCTCCTGATGCTGGGTCCTTTGCCTGTTGTGTTCTTCCAAGGTGTGGTCCAGAGGGCGAAGGTGGCTGGGGAGCAGACTCAGGATGATGATCTGACTGTGCAGGGCAGTTAGTGCATGTTGAGGGGAGGAGGCCAAAGGCAGGACTCTGTGATGATCTGACCATCAAGAATTGGAGGTCTGTGTGTGCTGAGCTCACCTGGATGCCTAGCAGAGCAGAGTTGAAGTCTCTTTCCCAGATCTCAGAGGGGGGTTCCTCTCTCCCTAGGAGAGGTTGGGTAGGGGTGCTCTTGTCAATTTAGGGCATAAAGTCTGCCTGGTTGACCCCAAGAGGCTGGCAATAATTGCTTAAGACTTTCCTATATCTCGGCTAGCCATGTAGCAGGAAGAGGTCACTGAATGGCTTATCTTCAACCATTTTTTTTTCATAGCAAGTAAACTTTTTCTGCTTATGTATGTTTGGGTATCAGATGCCTTTTTTTCAGAAGGAAGGTGTGGTAGGAAATTTTGTGATTGCCTTTCTTCTTCTTTTTTTTTTTTTTGGGTCTCATCCATTTTTAAAGATACCTTTGGCCTCAGGGTTGCTATAGGTAGATGCTCTTATTGTTTATTGCATCATAGCCAGGGTGCTACCTTTCACTTTATTTTCAATGCAATCAAAATTACAGTGTTGAAACCAACACTTCTTAAGGAACCAATGGATCCAATCTGATGGGAACTTTTCTGGCCACTGAGAATATATTGAGGAACTTTAAGGCAATGTTTTGTCACTGGACCCCAATGTTTCCCCACCCAACCTGGTTCCAGCCCATTCAATCCTGGAATAAGCCTTCATGTTTATTTTCCCTAGCTCAAGCTCTCATGTGCACAGTCTGCAGCTCTTTTAAAGACGGTCGTTGTTTGAAAGGCAAGGGCAACTGCACTCTGAACTCTGTCTCTGCATGCAGAACTATGAATATCTTCATTTTCTCTGAGACAGGTAATTCCATCATACCAGTTTGAGATCACCCTTGCTGGGAGGTGGATATGGTCATGCTCTGGTGAATAGGTCTGGTGTTGGGGGGAAGGTCTTCTTACTGTGAGCCTCAAGCTTTTTGACTCCGGTGCTAAGTATCAATGCTCTTGTCTTCTAGATGGATGGCTTCAGGATCACACTGAATTGGACTGTCAGAATTTTTGTTTTCCTTCACAGTTGTATTATGAGCAGGTTAAGGTATCTACCTACTGCTGCAAAAATCAAGATTTCTGTAACAGATATCAGGGAAGTTTGTGAACAAGGAAATTTATTAACTGTCTGTTTCTTTGGCAGTTGTGATTTGTTCCTTTATGTGTTTCCTCTTTCTGTGTCTCTGGTAAATTATCCTCATCTAACTTCCACCTCATCTAACTTCCACCTCCTCTTCTTCACCTCTTTCCTGGCCACTGGCTCCTCACCCACCCACACCCAGATACCAGACACAGCTCATTATTGTTTCCTTTCCCTTCTACATTCCCTTCTGAAAATCACCATCAATCTTCCTTGACTTGCCTTTCCCCTGCCCTCACTGAATCACTGTGCCTGACTAACTTCTAGCTTCTAGTTCCACCAATTTAGAAGTGATTGTGGAGTGCCTAGCCAGGTGAGGGTTCCATCTTACACATCAGGAGTTGAAGGGG